AAGCAAGTTTTGGTGCTGACCCACTGCCCCAAACCGCGTGATGCTGTTACGTCTCTGTGCTGATAAAGAGGTGCTGAGAGGGAAGAAATGACGTGTCAGAGCCGTATTTGTAGCTGCTTCTTTTTCTTAAGCACAGACCCTGCTAGATCTGATCTGTGAGGAGATCTGTGGTCGAGATGAGGTTCTTTAAGGGCTAATGCAGCTGACAGGGCAGTCAAGCTTGTTAATGTCGTCTGCTGGTGGTTGCTCATGACCGGGCTCTGTTCTCACTTGGTGCTTCTCCTCCTGTCAGATCCACAGCAGGTATGAGGGAAAGAAAACCTCCAAGCACAAGAGGAACTTGGCCATCACTGGTGGGGTCACCTTATCTGTCATTGCCTCTCCAGTCATCGCCGCTGTCAGTGTTGGTAAGTGGGCACATCCTCTTTCCTTTCTGGTGGGCCAGGAGTCACCGAGGCAAGCGGGTAACGCAGCTCTGTGAGGTTTGGCCACAAAACTACCCCAAAGAGTCCTTTCTGTCTGCCCAACACCAGCTCAGCATTAAGCTCCTCTGAACTCGGCATGTCCTGCTCTCCAGGTATCGGAGTCCCCATCATGCTGGCTTACGTCTACGGGGTTGTGCCGATCTCGCTGTGCCGAGGCGGCGGCTGCGGAGTCAGCACCGCCAACGGAAAAGGAGTGAAAATCGAGTTTGATGAAGACGATGGACCGATCACAGGTAATGTGAAAACTGGTGAGAGGAAGGGGAGGTGAAGCAAGACCCTCAATGATTGCCTCTGGTAATGAAGTGATAGCGGGTCTTAACATTTCTGAACGTCTGTCTTTGCTTGGGTTTGGCTAGAAGCTGTTATTTGCTTCAGTCTTCTGGTGGGTAGATCCCAAAGCAAAAATCTCAGCTCTTCCTTGCCCTGGGCAAGGCAGGGAGCAGTCTGAGACGAGACACTTGCTGCCTGCTCTCTGACCCCCAGCTCTGCCCGAGCCTTCCCTTGCTGGTCCTGATTCCCACGCTCTTCTTCCCCGCAGTGGCTGATGCCTGGAGAGCCCTGAAGAACCCCAGCATCGGTGAAAGCAGCATCGAGGGGCTGACCAGCGTGCTGAGCACCAGCGGGAGCCCCACCGACGGGCTCAGCGTGATGCAGGGCAACTACAGCGAGACAGCCAGCTTCGCTGCCCTCTCGGGCGGCACGCTCAGTGGTGGCATCCTCTCGGGAGGCAAGGGGAAGTACAGCAGGTAACTGAGCTGATAGGCACAGCAAGAAAAGGGTAGTGGTCTCCAAGGCCTGTGTTGGCTGAGCCAGCTCATTTTGAGGAGCTCTCCAGGACCATGGGTTTGGTTTTTTTTGACTTGAGACTCGTGTCCTAGTATTTTTGTGTTTCGGTCTGTTGTGGAATAACTGGTCCCGGCAGATCAAGCTGCTTCTGGAGTCAGTGCTAGGCTGACTCTTGGGAGGAAGACAGAAGAAAAGTTTCTGTCCCTGCCGAGCTCCTTGCAACTGCAGAGCTGATGCTTCTGATTAATTGGGAACAGTGCAGAGATGCCTGCGTGGCCAGCTTGAAGATCTTCCAGTCCTCTTATCCCGGCTTAGAGCCTTTGATGCTGCCTGTTCTCCAGTGGCCTGTAGCGAGCAGGGTCACTGCTTTCCAAGTCGGGAGGTTACACCACAGTTTTTTGCCGAGCTTGCCTGTGAGTCAGTTTGATGGGTAATTAGAGACACGTGTTGATACGGCAGCCAGGGTACAATCGCAGCCGTATGCCGGATCTGTGGAAATCTGTTCTTTGCAAGAATTACATGAGTCATGGGTATAAACAAAACTTTACCTTCATTGTGGAAAACAGAACAGGTTTACCTAAATGGAGCTAAAAAGGAGACTGAGTGAGAGGAGCCGTTGGGGTTAAGCTCTGTCATGCTGAGCTGCGCCAGCACGGAGGGCCTCTTGCTTTCCCGTGACAACCTTGCCTGGTTGGTGCCCCTCGGGGGTCATCTAAGGCATTTCTGAGGAATCCTCTTCTTTCCTGCAGGCTGGAAGTTCAGGCAGATGTCCAGAAAGAGATTTTCCCCAAAGACTCGGTCAGCTTGGGGGCTATCAGCGACAACGCCAGCACTCGAGCCATGGCTGGTTCCATCATCAGCTCCTACAACCCCCAGGACAGGTAGGAGGACACGCCCTGGTGAGAAGAGTCTTGGTAGTGGGTGGGTGTCCCAGAATAATCTGTGCTCTGCGAGGTGCTGCCGAGGGTGTCGAGATGACTGTAGCTGCACCAGCCTGCTCTCCTCGAGCTGGCAAGTGGATTGATCCTTTTGCTAGCACAGAAGGACAACTGGGGACAGTTTGGGAGCAGCTTTCATGTGTAACATGAGGGCCGAGGAGGGGATCTGCAGCCCGGGACTCTCAAGATCTGTTCCTGGCTGCTTGTGGGGACTCCAGTGCTTTTCCAGTTCGGTTCCTGGCTCACGGCCTGGGGATGATCTTGGCTGCTCTTGGGAGGACTCGAGGAGCACAAGGAGTGCTGTTGTTTCCCAGATGCTCTGGGGTGATGAGCAGCATCTTGTTCACATTTGGGAAATGCGATCCCCCCAGTACAGTGATGCAGTGCCTGGTGGTAACCCAGTAACCGTACCCAGTAACAGGAGGGTGCTTGTTTCTGCAGGGAGTGCAATAATATGGAAATCCAGGTGGACATCGAAGCCAAACCGAGTCACTACCAGCTGGCCAGCGGCAGCAGTACAGAGGACTCGCTGCATGTCCACACCCAAATGGCAGAGAATGAGGAAGAGGAGGAGGAGGAGGAAGAGGAGGACGATGAACAGGAGCAGACATGCAAACACCAAAGCTGTGAGCAAAAGGACTGCGTTGCCAGCAAAACCTGGGACATCACCCTGGCCCAGCCTGAGAGCATACGGAGCGACCTGGAGAGCTCCGACAGTCAGTCGGACGACGTGCCTGACCTTACCTCGGACGAATGCGACTCCCCCCACTCTCAGACTGCGGCAGCCTGCCCACAGACCCCCAAAGCTAGAGGTGCTGAGAGCCCAAGTGCCCACCTGAGCCACTGTGCCCAAGCTGAGGGCTGCAGGCTGGACGAAATAGTCAAACTGGAGTGCATCGAAGCCAGAGTATGAAGTGGCCTCCTACTCGCTGTCGTTGCATCTTTTGGGGCAGGGTCGTGTCTGTGTTGGCTTCTGTTTGCAATTCTCCAGCTGGCTCCCCAGCCTCGCCTTGGGGAGTTGCTGTTTCTTACATGACAAAAAAGGAAAAGGAAAAAAAAAAAATCCCCCTGCCCTCTTCTTGTTTTAATTTATTGGTTCAAGCTCTGTGAGATGTGTAAGAGTGTAAATATGTACGTGTGTCTGTACGTCTGCAAACATCCTAAGGGACTATTTGAATAAAGACTGGTTGTCATTCGACTCGCATCAAGCTCCGTCCTTTTCAAAGCTGTACGGTGGAAATCCTCTGCCCTAGCCCAAGGGATGGAGAAAAGGGGAGTATCTCTTCTGCCTCTGGAAAGTGGGGTGTGACAGCCTTATCCTGGCTGTGTTCAGGTGGAAAGAGGGGAAGGATGGGGACTAACACCGTGCTGAGCCAAATTCCCAGCGCTGCTGGGTGTTAAGGGATCCCACTGTTAGGGTGAGAGGCCAGGAGCTTGCCCTGGACCAAGCTCTTCCCCAGACCAGTCCTAGGAGCCAGGGCCACGCTGCTGTCCCTGGAATTAAACTGGTGGAGCCTCATGTCTGTAACGAGCTTTGCAGAGAACATCGCTTGGCCAAGATCTCCAGCGAGCGAGGGAGAGCCCCCAAAGCGCCTGCGGTGTGAGCAGAGCTTGGGCTGCTCTTCCCACTGCCACCTCGGGGTGCTGTTGTCCCCAGCTCTTCTGACTCTCACTATCAGTAACTTCCCCGGCACTTCCATTGCAGCAACTGCCACCAAACTGGTTCTTCTGAGTCACCTTCTGGGAAGTCTGCACCAGCCCTGACCCCTCTGCTTTTCCTTCTCTCTGCAGGTCGATCCCCAGTACCTGACGGCGCTCGTCTCAGCCCCGTGGTCTGGCAGCGTCCCGTCCCGAGGGGCTGCTCCTTCCCAGACCCTCAGCCTCAGACCCGTCCAGCCGGACCCCAGCCTGCTGCCATCACTTTAGGGTAGATGGACCTGTGCGTGCTGGGGAGGTGGGGATGGAGGGCGAAGGGGATGAGGCAGCTTAGCAAGGGCGTATCGGCACAGCGTGTCAGAGCACGGCCACTTGGATGGGGAAGGGGATGAGGCAGCTTGGCGATGGTGTATCGGCACAGCGTGTCACGGCACGGCTGCTGGCCCAGCAGCAAGAGGAGCCCAGGGGTGGGGACAGAGCTGTGCTTCCCCTCAGCGAAGGTGGAGTTATCTCTTCCTTGGAACCGGGGAGCGGGTCTGACAGGAATCGGAGTGGCAGTGGGGGTGAGGCAGCAGGCGAGAGGCT